ACTTACTCCTCGGGGATATCGGGGGCTTCCTTATCAATTCCTCACCCCTTTCAAACTTTAGACCATTTTTTTTGAATTTCCAACCCCCGTACATCACTTCATCATTCAAACCCGATGGGGTGTCTCCCGGTTTCGTATCTTCATTCTTAGATTTCTTTTTTGCCCTTTTCTTACCCGGTTTTGAACCGACTCCCTTTCCAACATCATTTTTTTCTACAAAACCATTTCCATTAGTAAATTTAGAATTAGGGTTAGGATGTACCTCATTGCCGAAGTCCTCCACGAACGAGCATTGGCCAACTTTGGATGGAGCGTCCCGGGCATTATTCATCGTGAAAGTAGCAATCTCTCCATGAGCCGAGAGAGTGACTCGTCCCTCCTTGACGTCGATAATGGTGTTGGTAGTCGCCATAAAGGGTCGACCAAGCAAAATCGTGTGCTCCCTCCCGGTGTTCGGGACATCTCCAACATCAAGGACAACAAAATCAACCGGCACAACAATAGAACCAACTTTGACCAACACATCTTCGATTATACCTTTTGGCTCCCGCAAGGTGCGGTCCGCCAATTGGAGGCTCATCCGAGTCGGCTTAAGCCCTTGCAAACCTAATTGCTTGTAGATCGAGTAGGGCATGAGGTTTATACCGGCTCCCAAGTCTAGCATCCCGGTTGTAATCTTCCCATTCCCGAATGTAATCTTCATGACAAAGGCTCCCAGATCACATTCTTTCCGAGGTATTGTAGTCGATGCTACCTCGGAAATCATCAACTTCTCATTATCCACGAACCTCTGCTTTTTCGAAGCTAAGTCTTTGAAAAATTGAACATATGCCGGCACATTTTTAATAACGTCTAGAAGTGGGAGGTTCACGTTTACCTTTGAGAGCATGTCAAAAAGATCTTGAAATTGACGCTCCTTCTTTCTATCCTTCAAACGGCTCGGGTATGGAACCGGTGGTCGGTAAGGTTCATCCGCTTTGTGCAAAGCCTCACGGGCATCCTTCTTCCAACTCTCCTTCTCAATCCTTTCGTCAATAATGGCTTTCCCTTTCGAAACATCAACTTTCTCACCCGACTCATCATTATCCTCATCAACAACAACTTCAACAACCTCATTTTCCACGGGTACCTCAACACGATTATCGACCTTCTTACCACTTCTCAACACCGTAATAGCATTCAAGTTCTCGGGTTGGCTTGGGAGCTTATCTTTCATTTTTCTCCTATGGATATCCCCTATGGAACTCCCGAGTTGCCCCACTTGAGTCTCGAGGCATTTGAGAGAGGCTTGAATCGATGGCACTCCTTTGATGGTGTCGTGCAATGTGGAGACGGTGGAGGCCAATGATTGAAGACACTTCTCTAAGCTTTCGATCCGAGTCTCCGAGGACTCTCCATTAGCATTCCTCTCGGGCTCGGGTGGAGGTGGCAAAGGTTGCCTCGGAATGAAACCTCCACGCCCTTGTGGATATCCTTGAAACTCGGGCCTCGGTTGATAGCCTTGGAATTCGGGCCTCGGATGGAACGGTGGTCGGTTGTTCGGTTGAGCATATTTTTGAGGTTGGTTGTAGGGTTGTTGCGGTGCCGGTTTGGGTGGGTAGGTTGCTTTCGGGTCCCTCCAAGAAAAGTTAGGGTGGTTTCGCCACCCGGGATTATAAGTGTTCGAGTACGGATCATTTTGGACCCTGGGGGCGTACCCTTGGATAGCATTGATGTCGTAGGGTACTCCTTCAAGATTGGGATCGTAGGCCGGCACCATATAATTCAGGCACTCATGTCCTCCGTGGCCGGCCTCTCCACAACACCCGCATACTTCGGCCATCACCACTTGAGTCGACTTGGCATCCCTTAGCCGGAGTTGTTTGAGTTCTTCTTCTAACGAGGCAAGCTTGGCAAGGACGGCATCGTTCGAGGACCCGGTAGTTTGTGTAGCCTCATTAACGGGGGCCCTCTTACGAACACTCTTCCTTTGAGAATTTTCACTCAACATCTCATAGAGATTATAGATTTCCTCCTCCGTGTGGCTCCCTATGTCTTTTCCGGCCGCATGGTCAACCATATATTGGAGCGTTTGGTGGAGATCATCGTAGAACAATTGATTGAGGACTCCGAGGCAAAAATGGTGATGTGGGCATTGGAGTTGATAGCCCTTGAATCGTTCCCAAGCCTCGTGGAAAGTCTCACCAATAATTTGGCTAAAGCTAGCCATTTGAGTCCGAAGGTCGGTTGTCTTTTGATGTGAGTAGTACTTGCTCATGAACTTCTCGTATACGGCTTCCCACGTGTTGAGTGAACTCGGAAGCAATGTCATGAACCAAGTCTTAGCTCGGTCTTTCAATGTGTACGGGAAGCATCTCATCCGGAGTTGATTCTCGGTTAGGCCTTGGAGTGGAAATGTGTTGACGGTTGCATAGAAGTCTCGGATGAAGTTGAGGACATCTTCTTGTGCTAAGCTGTAGAATGATGGAAGTTGGTTTAGGTGGATGGTCTTGAGATCATAGTTTCGGGCCGCCTCCCCGAGCACGAGACATGAAGTGTTGTCTCCGATGATAGGCCGTGCAAAATATCTCATGTTCGGGGGAGGTGGTGGTGGCAATTGATTCTCTTGTCCCCCCATCGGTTCGGGTTCGGGTTCGGGTTGCGGTTGAGGTTCTTCGATATTAAGCTCAACAAAGAGATCGAATGGGGGTGGCTCCTTTCGGGGTCTTCCTCTTCGTCTACCTTGCATAAACAAAATCACAAACTATACCCGTGAACGCACCAATGGGAAGCAAGGAAAAATCGAAATTGAAAACACAAACTAAAACAAAAATTACCTAGAGAATCAAGAGAAATAAAGCGAAATACGGCAATTAAACAAAATCACACGAAACAAGAGAAACACAAGAAAAAGGAACAATCAAATAGCAAATTTGGCATCCTACATGCCTTCCCCGGCAACGGCGCCATTTGTTTAGTATAGATTTGATGGGCAAGGGATAACCGAGTTACCCGACTCGGGTCGATCTCGAGGGAAGGCTATTTGGAGCTTTATCTACTAAATGGTCGTCCAAATCACAAAAAAGGGGAAAATAAAGTCCTAAACATTCTAAGCAATTGATTGGATGGTTGATTAACACTACTTGAGCACTTAAAAACGAGCAATTATTTGAAAGCAGGATCAAATGACGAGCAATTAGCTAGCTAGATCACTGGAGTCTCATGCCTTAACCATAACGGGATGATAATCAATCGACATACGGAATAAATGAGCTACGAGCATTAGATTGCTAACCCTAATCGTCTAATCGAGATCAACAAGTAATTAACGGCTCTATCTACTCAAAGCAATCAAGTTCAAGCATTTCCACCATCATCAATCAAATCCAATTTACTCTAATGAACATTATAAGTAAAACCGGAGCAAAAAACGAAGTAAAGAGCTTTAAAATTAAATACTCAATCTCCCATTGCGTAGACGATGAAAAACGGAGTCAAAAGCTCAAAACTTGAAAGGAACCGAAGTTGCCGGAAAATCTCCCGGAAAATAGCATAAGCTCCTAATCTAGAGAGCAAAATAGAACATAAGCTAAGAACCAAAAAAGGAAAAATGAAATAATGAAAGTTGGATCCCCAAAATACAAAGGAAAAAACATATATATAGTCTTCTACAAAAACACTTACTAGGTGCACACACATTTAAAAATTTAGCACTCACTAGGTAGCGAACTAGTTCGCTAGGCGAACTGGTCTTGTAGTTGTGCACACTCGCTAGGCGGCGAACTCATTCGCTATGCGGACTGGCCCTATGAGTCTTGTGAACACT